CATGTGTCAGAGCCCTTGCTCCAATCAGAAACAACCTTAAAATCATCCCAGCTCCAGGGATCCTGCTAGGGTGAGCTGAGGACTTTATGGGGACCACAACCCAGCCCAACTTCTCTCTCTGCCTTTTTCCTTGCTTTCTTCCTTGGGGTGGTCCCAAGAACACTTGATTACTAACACCTTGGCCACCAATGTCCATTTCACAGTCAAGAAACAAACTGTGTTAGCCTACCAAATGTTTGGCATTAAGCATAAAGATCCTTATGAAAGGATGAAGTTCCAATTTGAAAAGAAAAAAGAACAGCAGGGTGGATGGTATACAGGCAAACCCACCATCCCCTTACAGCAGTGTTTCTCAAAGTGTGGTACACGTACCCCAGGGGTACGGGAAGAGTTTGTGGGGGTACATGTTGCACCTGAGTTTGGTGGGGATATGCATTGCACCATGCTTAGCTGCCCCCAATTCTATGTTCTCATGAGTACGAGGGGTAGTCAGCGTTACAAAAATTATAGAAGGGGTACACATATATCAAAAGTTTGGGAAACACTGCCTTATAGTACGCAAAGGATTGTGGAAGAAACACACACTGGGTGCCATAGGAGTCTGGCAGACTCTTATATACACAAGGGTAGGGAGAGGAAGGTTGTCAAGACGGGTTTCTTGGAGGAGCTGTGTGTAAAAGACAAGCAGGTGTTAGTAGATAAAGACAAGTTAAGGAGTTGAAGGTAGAAGGAAGAAGCTGAGAAAAATCACGGGTGCATGAGAGTTCCTGAGATGCTAAAGGCAGGCCACAGTAATGAGCAGAGCCAAAGTGACACAGGAGAAAAGGATGGGGTCAAAAGCGAAATAAGCAGTGATAGGCTGAAGGAAAACTTACGGGTCATCCTAGTAAGCTTTGTTCTTGACCATTTTTTTAGACAGAGACACAAGACAGATGACTTTTCCATGCAACCTATACTTCCAGATTTTTCCAACTTCTCACCTCTACCAAAACTCTTTAGAAAAATAAAGCAAAAAGTGGCACAAATATTTTGGGAGGGTGAGCATGGTATGAACAATACCCTTATATAAACATGTAAATACATGGAATATGTCATTTTAATAAGAAAACCCTCCAGTGCATAATATTTTTCAAAATATATTATTTTGAAAAAGAATCTTGTGTGTGTTTTTTAATCAGACCTCCGTCACACAGGTAATATTAAAAAAGTAAATAAACATAGACTATTAAAGAGTAGTGAAATGTTCAAATTTAATCTTTATTAATATGACATATCTTCTTGCAACTTTTGTTTTTGTCATCATTTTGCTGTTCATCTGGTAATCATAAATATTTGTCATTAGGGGTAAGAATGTTCATAGCACCATTATATACAATATAAATGTTGGAGCTTTCTTCCTCTATCCTTGCCTTTCTTCTTACCTAAAAATTATCTGTGAGTAAAATTACATAAGTAAAGTTAATTACTAAAACCACCACTCACAAACACTAAAGGAACTATTGACAAGCAGAATTATTAGCTGTGCACTAAGAATCAGCAGGCAATGGGATAGATAAGCAAGGCTGATGACTTTAAACAATCCCTGGTCCCTACCTAGTCATGGCATCACCTCTCTCTCTCTCTCTCTCTCTCTCTCTCTCTCTCTCTCTCTCTCTCTCACACACACACACACACACACACACACACACGAGATAATATGGAATAGAAATGAAGGTAAATAATATTTCCATAGAAGCAAACTTGAATCCAGTCTATAATACTTTAAAAACATAAATAATTTTAAAACTTCAATACCTGATTTATTATTAGTAAACTTTGCTTGTGAAACCGCACAGATGACCAGTATTCGCCCGGCTATTGCAATACTATCGTTGAGAAGCACTACTAGAAGCAACATGGAGCCACTGGGTGTTTAAAGCAAGAGAGAGACATGTTCAGATTTATAGATGGAGGATGGATGAAGATAAAATAAGATTAAGCTGTAACAAACTCAAATAAGGTATGATGGGGGCTGAATATCTTTGGCGATTAGAAATATCAGCATTCTGGCCAAACACTTCTGGAGATTGTCTCCAGTAATCTGAAATAAGTGAAATGTTCAGATTTAACCTTTATTAATATGACAACTCTTCTTGCAACTTTTGTTGTACCTCTTTCAAGGTACTCTACACTTATCAGTGGAGTACCTTGAAAGAGGAGGAAGGCTGGCTAGCTGATTAAGATAACCTCCTGCTTTTTATGTCCCTCTGATTTGGGGAAGGGCCTATTATCCTGACTAATAAAGCAGAAAATTAGCTATTAGAGGAGTGCTTGTGATCAGATTTAAGGGCTTAATAACACTCAGAACAAGAGTTGAAAATCCAAATGGAATTTGTAGGTACAAGAGTTTATCTAAATTTGTATAAAAGTCAGCTTCTTCTTGATTTTTTTCTTCCAAAACTACTACTATAGTTCTATTCAAATATGACCATACTGCCAGATAAAAAGTATCAACTTCTCTAAAAACAGAAATATTCTCACAAGGCAAACCACCCTACTAATATGTCTTCTGCTATCATCTCCCTCATCCCTTTCACTCCTTGTCAGGATGGGCACTTTTGATTCATGCAAGAGTTTTACAAAGCTGCCAGATAAAGACAAATTTAGTTGTACAAGGCCAAGTACTATCTGAGAGGCACCAAAATTCCAACTTTGGAGGCACAGAAGAGTAAAAAAGTACATTAAATTGGTTAAAGGGAAATGTATCTAGTGGGAATATTTTATGTAAATGACCATAGGCAGATTAAGCTGTACTTTACTTTGCTCATTCATAAAATCTAATCTAATAAAAGGGTAATATGCAAATTAACCATCACTCAGACACAAAGGTTGCAACTCCCATGCCTCAGCTGCAGAGGGAGGCAGGGCTGCTGGCCTAGGGGTATGTTCTGAGCCACCGCTGCAAAGCTCAGGGCACACCCCAGGCCTAGTGGATGCAACTCACGGCTCCTGGGCCGGGGGCATGTTCCCAGCGGCCACCACTTGGCTTGGGGCATGCCCTCGGCCCAATGGACACAATGCAGGGGGGCATAATCCCAGCCTATTATCCTCCTACGCAGGAACTGCAGAGGAAACACCTTTTCTGAAGGCTCATTGGCTAAGCTCCCTGTATGCAGCCCCTGGCAGTGTTCTTGGTAACTTGGGTAATAAGAATCCAAGAAGGTGATCTATAGTTTTTCCACCTCACTCCTGGAGGAAAAAAACAAAGGTCCGCTGCTGGAAGGGCTAAGAAATGTCATATCCTGCCCTAGCCGGTTTGGCGCAGTGGATAGAGCCTTGGCCTGCCAATCGCAGGGTCCGGGTTCCATTCTGATCAAGGGCCTGTACCTAGGTTGCAGGCTCTTCCCTGGCTGGGCCCCAGGTCAGAGCTCATGCAGGAGGCAACCAATCGAAATGTCCCTCTCTCACTGATGTTTCTCTCTGTCTTTCCCTCTCTCTTCCAAGCTCTCTAAAAATCAATGGAAACATATCCTCGGGTAAGAATAAAAAAAATAAAAAAAGAAAGAAAAAAAAAGAAATGTCATATCATATGAAAGAGACATCTTGAAAATGCCTAAAGAAAGTTGTCATTATTTTTGTGTGAAGGGATTGTAGTCCGTGTTGATGAAAACACCTTGGCGGCTGTGGCTGTGGCTGTGGCAGCAACAGCAGGATGATGGGGCTGGTACCTTCCCCTGAGCAGCCAAGTCACCTCCTTCAGAGGGAGGCCAGACTGGAACTTAGGCTAAGCTATCAGTAGGACATCCCTTTAGGGCTCCCAGTCTGTGAGAAGGGGCAGGCTGACCCCCCCCCCCCAAGTGCACAAATTTTGTGCACTGGGCCTCTTGTTAGATAATAATAAGTTCCTGTAACATAAGGTTGCTATGAAAATTAAGTGAGACTCACATAAAGCCCATAACCCAGGGCCTAGGAGAGAGGAATCACCTGAGGGTGATGCTGAGTGTGAGGGTGATAATCTGTGATCATGCACATTACAGAAATGAATCATGTCACTCTGACAAATCCACCACTATTTTTTCTAAGAAAATGATATCTATTGGCCAAACCAGTGACTCTTTAGGCTGCAGAGCCAGCTTATCATCCTTCTTGTAAATGAAACAAAAAACAAGAAAACCAAATGAACCGCACGTCGAAAGATTCCTCTTAGGAAGAGAAGGAGAGAGAGGCTGAAGAGGACACACACAAGCTTGGTTGAAAAATAGCAGTAAAGCACCTTGTTTGCTCTTGATTACTCTTAGGATCAGAAATTTCTGAAGTTTTCTGAGCATTTCACAAATAAAGTTTTATCTTTGGAAGACTTCCAAAGTCCAACACAAAAGGAGAATTCACAAGATTTGGCTCATGACCAATTTAAAAGAAGTAGATTCTGGCCACTGATTATTACTGGAGGGGAAAATGAGGTCCTAAGGATGATTGTTCAGCTGGTTATCCTTTATGGCAGGAGGGAGATGAAAAGACCTGAAGAGATACACAGAGGAAAACACTCAGTGTGAATCCTGAAAGGAGATTTTATTTGTGGTACTGAAGAATCATCCCATAACCCAATAAGCAAAACAGCTGATGAGGTGGTAATTGTATCAAATCAACAACTCACAGCTCAACAGATGAAACTCAAATGACACATATTCCTAAGGATATTCAAGGACAAGTAAACCATGTGGTAAAGATTCCAAAGATTTTCTATTCTATTACACCAGAATAGAAAATCTTAACAAACATCGATGCCAAATTTCATGCTAACTTTCAATATAATTTTAGAAATTTCAGAAATAACAGATGGCAGCAACAAATGTATTTGCTTCCAGCGAGTGAAATCCTGCCACTCGGCTGGCTAAGACAGTGACATGGCAGTTTGAAATCTATGTAGACAGGAGTGACTCAGGATGAAAGTGGAACTGATAATTGAGACACAAAGACTTTCCTTCAGAGGGATACCTCAACAGACCCCCCCCTCTTGCCCCCCCGCAATCAGCCCTGCAAAAAGCTTAAAGAAATGTAGAGATGATACAGAACTAGCCTCTTCTATAATACCATGCTCATCAAAGGCTTTTCTTAGAAGGCTACTTCCCACATGCTTGGGAACTAGAGAAAAGTATTTAAAAATCTAACTTTTGTATTCAAAACCTCCATGCTTTCTAGTCTCCATTCCATAGCAAGAAATGCTCAGCAGACATCACCTGTCTCCCGGCCCTGGTCCCTGCTGCAGGAGCCCAGTGGAGGAGTGAGTACCCTGGAACATCATTGTTGCTCAGCTTTGGGAGAGCAGAGTTAGAGTTTGAGATTTAATAGTTTGCTTCCTTGAGCTTTGAAAACATCTACCAAGGACCAATTGAAACTGGAAGCTCTAATGTCAGGAGTCATGACTAATTTAATACAAATCCATCAACAATGCACCATTTCCAATGCATTTATATTAGAATCATTGTCAACATCACAAAAATAAATACATGTTATCTTCCACAAATGCAGCTATGAATATTTGTGGCATGTGATTTATAGAAACAACCAAACAAAGAGCCTTGGGAAATTCAGTTTCAAGCTATGCGGGACATTTTCTAATTACTTTGTAATGTAGAACTACTATTAGAGGTCATATAAATTCAAAAGAGGAATAGAAAACCAACAGCAACAGTAACTTTGTCATTCACGCTGATTCACTGTTGTTTCACTGGTGGCTGTGTGCTGCTAATAGAACACCTCAGGGCTTTCTCTCTAACACTGGAGGACCAACTGCAACAAAGTCACACGAGATGTGTGCACACAGGCACTGGGAAGCCCAAGAGACTTTCCCATCAACCAATGTCATTTGGCAATTTTCTTGTTTCACAAACAGAGGAATCAGCAGCTTAAACATTAAGTTGAGGACTCACCCACATTATCCACATCCCAACGTCCAGAGATAACATTTTTCCAGGTGATGGGCAGGTCCAGGTTCCATGTTCCAGTGAGACATAGAGGGTGTGCAAAAAGAGAGGGGAAAAAGTAGTTTAGAGACAGTTCAACAACTGGTAGAAACTTATCCCCATACTAAACATGATAATAATAGTTGCCCCCTTTTTAGAATTTGCCCCTCTGCCTAGACACCTTGGGTTGAGAAGACAGTTGCTGTAGAAGGTAGATAATTCATGGAGATCCAAAGGAATCTTTCATTAACATTTTCATTTAGCTGTTGCAAATAAGAGGAAACACAGGAAAGCCACATACAGTGCCTTATATCTGTACATTACTAATTTGTTCCATCAAAAGCTACTGTCCAGAGAATTGAAAGCAGGAAGGGTATCAGCAAGATATGTGTTCATAGCAACATCATACACAATAGCCAAAAAGTGGTAGCAACTCAAATATCCATTGATGGATTTTAAAAAATGGTCTATATACACAATGGAATATTATTCAGTCTTAAAAAGGAATGAAGTTCTGACACATGCCACAACATGGAATTTGAATTCTTCCGAGGAAGGACCAAATGAACCTCAAGGACATTATGCTAAATAGACAAATCACAAAAGGATTTGATTCCACTTATATGAGGTATCTAGGTAATTAAATTCCCAGAGATAGAGCAGAGTGGTGGATAGCTAGGAGTTTGGGGGAGAAGGAAATTGGGAGTTGTTATTCAATGGGAAGATAAAGAGAGTTCTGGATGTTGGTTGCATGATGTGAATGTAGATAAAACACTACTGAACTGCACACTTAAAAAATGGTTAAGATGGTAAATTGCATGTGGTTTTACTACAATTAAAAATGAAAAAAATCTATTATCAGAATGGTTCTAGGAACTATCTGGCAACTTGTATAGATCCAGTCTTCAAAGGAAAGAATGAGTGAGAGGGTAAGTCAATACTCAAGATAAAGTGTCAAAGACTTTAATTTGAATAGAAAGCAGCCTAGCAGAAATTCAAGAAGTTTGGTACAAAGAGAGCCGTTGCTTAAAAGGTATTGGAAGAAATGACAGATATGCCTACAAAGACCAAAGATGAGTCAGGCTGTCTACACTTGGTCTATGCCTCAAAGAGTGCAGGGACACTGCCTTCTCCTAAGGCACTTTTCAAGTCCATGGACCCCTTGAAAAGTGCCCGTGCAAGTTCTTCTTATTGTCCATTTGGTATTTTAAAAGTTTATCTACCCTCTCAAGTCCTAATAATGTATGGTAAATTGTCTTCTCATTGTAGATATGCAAAGAATACAGTTAACTATTTTTATTTGCTAAAGATTAGAAAAGGAAATTCATCTGTGAATGTATGAGTCACTATAATGGAAGTAACTTTAAATACCTTGTTTCCGCGAAAATAAGACAGTGTCTTATATTAATATTTTCTCCCAAAGTTGAGCTAGGTCTTATTTTCAGGGGATGTCTTATCTTTCCATGTGTTAGGTCTTATTTTCGGAGGATGTCTTATTTTCGGGGAAACACGATATCTGCTTTCAATCACCTTCTCCTCACTATTTCTCTGACAGGAACTCTATGCACATGGATTGACTGCCCAATGAGGGCAGACAATATACATAGGGGAAGGACTTAGGGAAAAGAAGTGTGGGTTCAGTGATCTTAAGGAACTGGATAACCTTGTGTAAGCCACTAAATATGTTTCCCCGAGAGAAAAGGGAGTGTAACAGATATACTGGTTTTCTCATAGACTTATGTTAAATATCAAATGAAATGACATTTAAAAACAGTGTAAATAGAAAGCAGTGCAAATTCAGGGTGGGCTTTAAAATGTCCCTAATTGTTGTCTGCCTCTGGCAAGAATGCTCAATTAATGTCCAAATAAGATAGGATATGCTGCAGCCGCAAGTTCACTACCACCCTATCTCCTACTACCCCTGCCATTCACCCTATTGACTGACTTAGTCCAACCAAATGAGCGCTCATGTGTCTAAAGTAGGTGGTTCTTTAAAAAAAAAATTATTTATTGTTGAAAGTATTACATATGTCCCCTTTTATCTACATTGACCTCTTCTGCTCCCCTCCATCCTCCCCCCACCCCAGTTCCTTACCACCCCATTGTCTGTGTCCATGGGCCATGCATATATGCATACAAGGTTCTTGGTTAATTACCTCTCATACACCCATCCTCCCCCACCTTCCCTCCCAGATTCCCCCTCTCTGTTCCATGCTTCCATGTCTCTGGATCCACTCTGTTTATCAGTTTATTTTGCTACTTAAATTTCGCATATGAATGAGATCATGTGATACTTGTTCTTAAAGTGCAATCCAGGACCCCAAAACTCTTTTAGGAGACCTGTGAGGTTGAAACATTTCTTAGTTATACTAGCACATTATTTGCTTTTTCACTGTCATTCTCTTATGAGTGTATAGTGGAAGTTTCTAGAAGCTACATGATGTATTATATGATGTCCTACACTCAGTTCCTAATACAGAAGCAGATGTAAGAATCCACTCTTTTCTATGAAAGCAGACATTAAATAGATTTGTGTCATTTTTGTCTTGGAAAACCTCATTTACTTTCATAAAAATATGTTAACATGGAATGGACTTTTATTGTTATTTTTAAGTAAACCAAAATATGCATTAAGAAATTCTCAGTTGTAATTTCTGATGCATTAAATATCAGTAGATATAACACATAAACCAAAGTACTTTGCTGTCATCAATAGTTTTTAAGAATGTATAGAGGTTCCGCAGAAACTGGTTTGGCTCAGGTCCCTGGTTCGATTCTGGTCAAGGGCATGTGCCTTGGTTGCGGGCACATCCCCAGTGGGGGGTGTGCAGGAGGCAGCTGGTCGATGATTCGATGATTCTCTCTCATCGATGTTTCTAACTCTCTATCCCTCTCTCTTCCTCTCTGTACAAAATCAATAAACTATATTTAAAAAAAAAAAAGAATGTATAGAGGTTCCAAGACTGACATGTTTGAGGACTAACATGTGTCCAGAGGGTAAATGACACAAAATGAGGTTGCAGAGGAAGAAGGAGACCAGGAAGCAGGAGCAGACCCCATGGCCATGGGAAGGCTTCTGGTCTTATCTAAGAGCAACATGAGGCTGTTCCCCATGGGCAGGAGGCTGCAGCGACAGTCTCTTTCTCGGTATGTGACAGTTATACAGAATCATTCATTGCCCAGCCTCCCTTTGCACCTTATAATGATTCATTATACAAAAAAATGAACTCATAAATCTCCATCCTAAAGCTCCATCACACTATAATGAATCTCAAGGTTGTTTTCAAAAAGAGTAATTTCTCCTGCATGGACAGATGCAGTGTCTATACTGAGCGTACCTTTAAAGGCCACCTTGATGGCTAATTTGGAAGTGGGAAATGTTTATAGATGAGCTCCTTTTATCTCCCAATACCGGTGCCCACATTCCAGTGAAGCCAGATTAGGGTCTGGGCTCCTGCAGCTCTTACGCTGGGGATGCTGCTGCGTGGGGTGGGAGGAAAGGAAGCTCCTAGTAAAAATGGCCTTTCTAAGCTCAGGGAGGCCCTCCTGCGTGCTGGCAAACCCTCTCGGCTCTCCCTGTGGGTTCTCCTGTACCTCACCCCTCAGAAGCTGTTGCAAACTATTCATTCTCAAGTCCCCTCTGTACTCTCCTCACTCCTAGGAAAAAACAAACAAACAAAAAAAGACAAAAACTCATTTCTCTCTTCACCCAGAAGCTAAAGGAAGGAAGTGATGGAGTTAACATTTATGCACCACGATGATAAAATTTAGGAGTTGTAACTTTATTTTTTTAATTTATCTTTACTGTTGAAAATATCACAGATGTCTCCCCCTTTTCCCCATTTATCCCCTCCACCCTGCCCACCGCCCCCTCCTAGACCTCCACCACACTTTTATATATATATATATATTATTGATTTCAAGAGGAAGGGAGAGGGACAGATAGAAACATCAATGATGAGAGAGTATCATTGACTGGCTGCCTCCTGCACAACCCCTAGTGAAGATCGAGCCCACAACCGAGTATGTGCCCCTGACTGGAATCGAACCTGGGATCTTCCAGTCCTCAGTCCAATGCTCTATCCACTGAACCAAACCAGAAAGGGCTTCACCACACTTTTGACTGTATCTATGGATTATGCATATACATTCTTTGGTTAATCTCTCCCTGTGAGTACCTTCAGTTTCCAAGAATATGTAGTATTGAAAGAGTGATTACGATTTTAATAACAAGAACATGATTGTATGTTAGTAACATCAGTGAGAAAAGACAGGTCTATGACATGTCAAAGCCCAGGAATGTGTGTGAAGAGGAGCTACGGAATTTAGCCAGGGGACAAGGCTAGTCACAGCAAAACCTTTATCAAAGTACATTCTCCAGAGAGAGCAGGACGGAAGGGACTGATAAGGCGTTAGAACCTTCCATCAAGACTGAGAAGATGAAACATCAAGTCCCTGGCTTATCATTTAAAAATGCTACTGACATCTGAGGGAGGGGAAAAATTCACGGAATCAAACTTCTCAGTGTATCTAATTGAAACACTGTACAAAGGTGCTTGTTCTTGTGTGTGTGTTTCTGAGGGGTTGGGACAAGGAGAGGAACTGTGATTGCTCAGAGACAGTCTGTCTTTGGGAGCCAGCTTTGGCTTGGGTGAGTCACTGGCCTGACCTGTGTGCTTTGATCTTGTTATTCCTTAATGTTACCTATTACAGAGACTTGGTAAAGAAGAATGAAGCTTTCTCCAGCCTTCGGATGAGAATGCTTCCTGAATAGAACCCCTCAGCAGGTGGCAGTCCTTTTTCTCCTTTCTTCCCCTTTTCTTCCTATTACAATAGGCCATTCAAAAGCTGCTCAACCTCCTTCAGGTAATTCGGATGTATATATATATATAAAACGAGATTTTGAGAGAGAGA